TTTCCAATATGTGCATACCCATTAAAATGAATGAGGTGGCAATAACAGCTTTGCTGCTGGTGATGAGGGGTAAAGAAAGTCAGGAAAGCTGCTGCTTAAGGCATGTGGAACAGAAACAGGATAGTTGAAGATGCAGCCAACTACATAAATTCATTTGAACAGGGGCCAGTCTAATGCTTAGTCTTTAGCCCTGTCTTCATGAACTTATAGCCTGAAGGGGGGTGAGAGAAGTGTCATAAAGCCATGGTATAGTCCTAACATGGTGCACTGCACAAACAGAAACAGTAACACAGAAAAGAGATATTCTGCTCATATCTCCCATCTCTCCTTTCATATCCTTCCTTTTCAGTGTGCGTGGTGTAGTTTTAAGGTATCTTTGGCATGCATAAGTACACCCGCTCCTTTTACCTCCTCCCCTACCTTTTATAGTTTCAAATGGTGGAAACCAGTTATAATGGAAATGAGTACCAGAGCCCAACTACTACTTGCTTTTCCCTGAAACAACTTTTGTTTATGTGAAAACCTCTCCAGGCAGATCTACTGAAGCAGATGAAATTGGAAAAACATGAGATCAGAGTGAAGAAGAGATGACTGGAAACAATTGTGAAAGCTTTGTTAGTGTGATAACACTCTGTTCCCCTGATGGTTTCCACAGCTCTGCGGTTGTGTAGAAGCACCCTTTTTCACAATGTCTCGGTGCTCTTCCCCATGTGTGGGTTCTGATGAATCTGGGTTTTGTTTGCCGGGCTACTGCTTACAAGGGTGATACAAGAGATAACTGTACTTTTTACAGTTTCAGCAGTTACAGAAAACACATCACTGATGGAACAAGCCAGGGGCCTCTGCATCATCTAGAAAGAACAGTTTATTATATTTTCCTAACCCTCAGAAATCTATACATTCTTGACAATCCTTTATGGAGAATGCCTGAAAGAGTGGTTCACTGTGGACTATAGTATATAATTGTTCATTACTTTATTGTACTTCGGAAAAGTATAGCTAAAATAAATTTCTGTTCGCACATTGCTGCCAATATAGTACGAGGAGAAAGGCTTAATCATTCTTATGTCATTGAAAGTGCTTTTACTTCAGTGTGCTTTCCTCTACACAGCTGCAGCTGCTCTTAACTGCAGTATGACCCTAAGGTAGCATTACTGCTTATTAACAGACAGCATAGATTCTCCCTTGCCATTCTTTTGTGATGTGTATTTTTATATCTATTCCAGCACAGATGTTGGCCAGAATAGCAAGATGGCAACATACAGTTCTATGACAGAAGTAGGCTGCTGCTCTGAATTTATATTTCTGCATTCTCTCGGGTGTCTTTTTTACTATTGGATTTAGTTAGGCTGAGAAAACCACACATCTTCATTTCATCGTCTGTTTGCTGGTAGTGGTTTGTAAATGGGGCTCTTAAGTTGATCTCTATCCCCCTTTTTTCCATTATGAAGAGAAAGGCTTAGATCTTTTCCTAATCAGAATGCTGCTTGCATTTGTATTACTGATAACTTGTCTGAAACCTACAGGCTCTTGCAAAGGTGATAGCCACAGAGATAAAGCTCTTTCTTATTTAAATCTTCTCTCTTTAGTGCCTGCCTCTTAGTCTAATAATAAAACACAATTCTACTCTTTTTTAAACTTCCTTAGATGCTCCCCTGTTCTATTTCTGTATTTAAAAATTGGTCACCTTGGGCTCCTCTTTAATTTCATCCTTATACAGAGATCACCTTTTGTATTCTAACATACCAACAAACCGCACTTGTATCCTACAGGTACTTGATGTGCTGGTTTTATGGCATTGTGTTTTATAAAGAAGTTATTTTTTGTTTTATGTTCGAGTTTCCAAGGCACTATCACAATTCTGAGGGATAATTTTATTTATTCCTATACAAATTTGTAAGATAGGACAGTTCTCTAGACCTTACAATCTAAGGACACTTTCACATGTGCTCCAGAGGTGGGAGGAGCTCTGAAAGCCACTCTAAAGCGCCACCATGTCTCATGCATCAGCCTCCCCGCGCTTCAAAATGGCAGCGGCAGCACTTGAACTAAAACACATTCAATGCCCCACCTGCCATTTTTAAGTGTGGGGATACTTATATATGAGACTCAGGAGCTGGCCCTGCACTACAGCTCCCCTGTGCCCTGGCCAGCCTCTCGACAGCACACTGAGATATGTCGGAGCAGTCCCGGGCTGGCAGACTGACACCCCGGACCTCCCACCATCCAGGGCTGCTCTGATGCAGCTCAGCATGCTGCAGTCCTGGGCACACGTGTAAACACGGCACCCAGGAGCAATAAGTACGAGAGATTCTTGCTTTGCCTTAATAACACATGTAGATGAAGCCAGTGTGCACGTCTACGTGAGATACTATATCACCATAGCGATGAACTACAGCAACGTAGCACTGTCAGGCACGAACTGTGATGCCGCTGTTACCACACAGCAGCAATGAGCTACCACACAGTAGGGTCAGAAACGATCTGTATGGTACTGGGCCTGTGCAGTACCAGCAGTTACAACTGTGCAGTCAGGCACACATGTGGACACACCCAGTGAATACCAAATTCAGTTCCTCTGCAGAAAGAATGCAATATATTGGTAGTATTTCTGGGCAAGTCACAAGCCTATTCATTTTCAACAAAAGGAGAGTATTGTCCCAGACAGAGCAGACAGAAATTAATTCAGTTAACAGAAATCCCTGCTGAGGAGTCAAGTTGAATTAATCCTAACTGGCAAGGGGAACATAAAGAATTCAAAATTATGGAGAACTCCAACATGCTTGGATAAGACAGATTGTTTACATTAGCTCAGGGTTCAGAAAGTATCCTTGACTAGTCAAAATCTCCTTCCATTTCTACTTAACTCTGATAAGCTTCCTATAAATTCGTCTCCTTAGGACAATCATTCTTACTCTTCTTAGACTGCAGGCAACCCTGAGTAGAAGTCAGCTTGTTTCACTTGTTTTTTTTACTATAGAAAAATAATAGAGTAATTCTTCGGTTGCAAAGAACTCAAAAAGACCACAACTGTGTTCCTATTTGAAATCTCTGGGTTTATTTTGTGAATTGCTGGAGTGTTGGCCTACCTAATATTACTGCGTACCACCTTGCAACACCCCTAGAATTTCACGGTACCCTGGTTGAGTATCAGTACCCTAGTACATGACAACATCAGAGCTTACAGAGTTTAGAGGCAATGTATTTACTGTCCATTGAGATTTCTATCTCCACATAAAAGACAGGGCAGATCTGAAAGATTCCCTCCACCAATTAATGAAGCTAGCTTTAGTTTTTAATACTAGTTGGTTATTTTCACAATAGCTCATGTTACTGATATTCCCTAACAAGGGGGCAGAGGACACCATAGAAATGCCTCACGTAATACCTTTCAGTTACGCAACAGAAAAAACCTACTCCCAGATGATAATATGAGAATAAATTTAGCAAAGTTTCCCCTCCATAAGCAAATCCAGCATACTATAAAAAACATCTAGCAGATGCAAGTTGTAAATTCACTTTCTCCCATTTCAAATTCTGTGAAGTCCTTTTAAACTGTGGATATCCCCAGAGGAGCTTAATTAAATATAAAAGGAGGAAAAAAAGAAGACAGGGAACTTTCATATTTTACAAAGAGAATAGTATTATTACATTAAAAAAAAATCTAGCAGCAGTGAGGAAAAAAATTATTTTAGCTAAGGAAGTTTTCCCAACTACTTATTTTTACAATTATCACATAATAATAAATAGCAGGAAGTAGCTTTCTATTACACCAAAAGCCAGGCTATCTGTTTCAGTGCTTAATACAAAATCTTGTCCATTCTAATAAATTAGTATACACGTTCTCCATTTTCCAAAACAATGAAAGGAAAATAGATCCTTTTCTGAACATGGCATCTTCTAGTCCCTGAACAGTCTAGATGGATTAATAAAGTCAATATGTAATGCTGTATTCCATGCCTCTCTATTTAAAATGAGCCTGTAGAGCAGGATAGTTGTTTACAAAGAGTGTTAACAAATTAATGAAAAACTTAAATAAGGAGATAGAGTAGAAAATGCCACTGAAGCTTATTGTGTACAGAAGGCCTTGGGCAAATAAGAAAGAGGGATTAACAAAAAGCTCTTAAGCATATTTGACATGTTTAGCTAATTAAAACAAAAAAGCTTTTGTCTTACCTTCTGAAAGCTAACTGCCCTTGCATTGCTGGCAAAATAGTTTCTCTTCCTCCTCAAAATACTGCTTCTTAAATTTTGCTAATTCTAAGCCCTGGTCTCCCATTTACTTAGCAATTCCTCAGCAGCACAGAGTAAAATAGAAACAAGATCTGTGGGTTATCTAACAATCTTACAGTAATCAAGAGAAAACAGGGAGAGGGAAATATTTAGACTATAAGGTTGGCCTTTGGAACCACCTCAAGTGAAAGGTAGGGGATGTTGCACCTCTTGGCACATTTAAAACCTGATTAGCTAAAACCCTCCTGACTAGATTATCCCACAGCAACTTTGCATCTCCAGACTAAATTCTAAAACTGAGACTCAAAAGTTTAAATGGCCTTTGGTTATCTCTTTCACAAAACTGGAAGTACAAATACGTTAATTCCACAGCATCTCAATCTCAGATCAACTCGCAGGCCTTGAGCTTTTCTCCAGGCCAGCAGAGAATAATATGAGAGTAAACTAGTGGTCACCTTGCATCCTTAAACATCAAACATTGTTATTTAAATGAGAAGTAGCATTGCTGGATTATTTGCCTAGCCCTGCAAAGACAAGGGACAGAACAAAAGCAATGCCTTTGAAAAGGATGGAGAGAATGTTAAACTAGGGAAATATTAGAAAATCATGCCAGTTATATGGGCACTGCAAAACCAAGATCCTTTTATTGAAACTTAGAATTAAGTTAGATCACATTTAAAATTTGTATTATTTCTTAAGGAGGGGGAAAACCAAACCAGCACTGTTTTTAGCTTGTGTGATGGGGGTGTTGCATCATCTACACTTACCTTTTCACTCCATGCCCAAAGCCCAGCTGCAAGGAAGGCAACTCCAGCCAGCTATTGAAAAAAAAAAAGATTACATAATCAGAAGGAGATCACTACTTCCCATCATATTTGTCCCCACCCAGAAACAAATATCTGTAGCAAAGCAAATGGAGAATCCATTTATGATTTGCTGTTTGCACACAAGTGAAAAGCACCTGAACTCTCTTAAAACTTTAAGTTAGCCACATGACCACAGAGCAGTCGAGTAAATTCTTTTCATCCTCCCACCAGTATCTCATGGAAATGCATTGAATCCCTCAAATTCCTCATAAACATCACTGGGGAACACTTTACACTTTTCACAATCAGGCCTAAATATCAGCCCTGACTAGGTCCTGAAAAGGTGCTACAGTGAAGGCTGATGAATAGACCAAATTCTGCAAGATGCTTGTGCCTCCACTTCCAAGATCCTTTGCATCTGCTTCCTCTCCCCATCATTTCACATTTGTTATCACGTGTTCTAGCCTTAAATCCAATTGGCACATCACTAGAGCTAGTGAGAAAATTTTCCAACAGCATTTTCTGAAGAAAAACATTTTGATAAATCACATCCAAAAGCTCATAGGAACACATCAGTTCTGATAGTTTGATTAGGAACTCGTCCTTAGCTCCATAACTAAATTTCTACTCTAGTGAGTCTCAACCTTCTCGGACTCAAGTTACCCCTCAGACTCAGCGCCCTGCTTCTTTGAAACGGGACACTGGCACCACTGGACCCAAGGCACCTCTCAAAAATGCTCTTAGCTTTCACTCATTTTTTGGCTACAGAAAAATAGTGGCTATTCTGTTGCAAAAAACTCAGAAAGACCTCAACAAGTAAGAATGTTTTTGACAGTGGTTTTTCAGTTGAAATCTCTGGCCGCATCCAGACAAGCGCAGACATGTGGAATATGGTGCTACACACTGCACATGCAGGCATTCCCCGCACTTTTACCTTGCAGCATGGGGTGTGGGGGGGAGGGTTGACCATGGGATCTCCCAGGGTCAAAATAAACCCATGTTGAAAAAACAACAGGGTGGCACATGTGATGGCAGTGCATGTTGCCCCAAACCAGGGGCCAGAGCCAAACGCTGGCTGCCCGCCAGGCTTCCTGCCATGGCTGCAGCCCCAGTAGGCCCCCAGGTTTCCAGGTAAGGCTATAGGAGCCAGCACAGTTGCTGGTCCCAGCCTTCCCTACCCTACCCAAGGTATCCTGCCATGCACCAAAACAAACGTAACACAGGCATTCCCTGGAGACAAGCAGCAGCCACAAGAGGTGTGCACCTGCAAGTTGTCCCCGGGGAAACAGAATGAGCTAATCTGGACATGCCCTTTGAGTTTATTTTGTGAACCATGTGTAAGTGTTTGAAGACCTAACAGTACTAATATTGCATGACACCGTTAAATGATCTCAAAGCACTCTAGTTTGGACAAAAACAGTGATTGTCAACCAAAGGGAAAACATCACCCCAGAAAAGCCAGTAATTCTAGGTAAGTGCCCCAACCATTGAAATATGAAACAGTGAAGTTAAATTTCTAACACGTCTAACCAGAGATGAGTGCCCTTACCACTGGGCTATTGGCATTTCTGTTGCGAGTCTCTCTCCTCATTCTATTTCCTTTCCCCGCAAAACACCCTGAAAAGTCTCAGTCTAAGCCCAATAACAACCAGAAAGAAATGTTAAAAATCCCAAAGTTTTTCATAGGATTGGACAGTTTCTTATTACACTCCACTCACAACAATATTCAAGAAGGCTGGTGCAACGTTTCCCCTCCCCTCCTCTCCCTCCACAAAAAAGCATGTGTCCTGTCCTACATGAGAGAAATTTTCAATAGAACTATTTTGTTTTGCTTCTTTAAGTCCATTTAAAACTTCCCCTTTGCTGTTGTGATACCTATGAACACTTGGCAAGAGTTGGGGTCTTGATGTGCCATACCCACCATCTGTCAAGACAAGAAATATTATGTCTATTCAAGAAATAATATGTCTATTTCCTTGCATTTCCTTTTCAGACCCCCTCCCGAACTACCTCGTCTTATACTTTGTTTACAAGCTCTCTTGGTCTTATTTTCTTCTGAGATCATATGACACCTATCACACAGTCCTGGTCCATGACTAAGACGGCTAAGCTGATTTTCCAAAGGCACAGACTAAGATGATGACAAATCCAGGAAAAAAAAGAAACATCTCCCAGCTTACAATGCTGTGTCTGATCTGTTGGACACAGGTCTCTTCTAATCGACAGCGGTAACAATTGCACTGTTAAGTCTGTGATTCTACAGCGGTAGAGCTATATCTTTCTCCCTCCAAGTAAAGTGTACTCCTTTTAAAATCTTGATTCAAGATGCCCATATTGCCACCTTAACACTTTATTTGATATATTCCTATGCAAAGAAAATTGTCCCTAGGCTGGCTGATGTTTTTTCCAGCTACACTTTGATGAAGATTGCAGATTTCATGCACTACTTCCCGCAACTCATTTCCCTGTTTAGCAATTTTATAATGCAATACCAGACTGAGTGCAACTACAGTTCTTTTTGCATGGTTTTTCAGTATCACGGCTTATTACCTAGATCTTTCTTCCTATTCCATTAGATGCACCATTTCTTTCCCACCTACTCCTAACCTGTTTAAGCTACTTTGAATTAAGCAGAAGTGATGGTTGCCCCACTCCTTCTTAGTAAACAGCAAGTTTGACAAACACTAAGACAACTTCTGCACTTAATGCTATGCAACCTCGCTGACTATTTATACATCTTTTTTAACTCTATTAATTTAGATTAAGCAAAAATAGATCCTTATTCTGATCTCTTTTGATCTCCCCCTCTCTCCTCCCACATTCAAGTCACAGGCTGCTTTTGTTTTCAATTTCCGATTTGGATATTCCAGCTAAGGCTACCTTTCCTGCCTCCAATCAGGGCCGGCCCAAAACTTTTTGGGGCCCCCTGCAAGAAATAGTTTTGCGGCCCCCTGCCCCAAAGAAGGTGATGACAGCAATGGGGGCGGGGGGGTGGCAAGTAGCCAGATGTGAAGCCAGCAGCAGTGAGCAGCTGGACACAGGGACATAGGTGGAGGAAGGATACAAAATTTGGTCGGGGGGCTAAACATATGTGCGCTTATGAGTGCACACATGCCGCAGCCCCACAGGTAAGTCTGAAGGGGAAGGGTCAAGGGGGAGAGGCCACTATTGCCCAGCATCACACTGCCTCAGCCACCTCCCAGCCCCAGCCACTTCCCAGCCCTGACCACGCCAGCCCTGGATGCCACACTGGCCACAGCTGCCTCCCGGCCCCGGCCGCACGCCGCCTGGGGGGGGCCAGAGCCAGGCCCTGGAGTGGGTCCAGCCTTGGCTGCACTGCTGGGCTGGAGGGGGATGGAGCCCCCGGGATCCCCATCCCCATCCTGCCCCGCCATGTGTTGTCCCCAGGAAGAGCCCAACAGCTCTTCCAGAGGCGCGGCACTGGGCAGCCTAGGGTAAGGGGGTGCACAGGCAAGGGCAGGCCGCAGCTGCAAGCTGGACTCAGCCTCTGCTCTGTGTCTCCGCACCTCACTGCCACCGCTTTGAAAGTGGCAGGCACCACCATGTGCGTCCCGCCACTGGACAGGCCGGGCAGTGAAGCACGTGATGGTGCCCACCACTTCTGAAGTGGTGATGGCGAGGCACAGAGACACAGAGCAGAGGCTGAGCCCAGCTTACCAGCTGCAGCCCGCCCTCACCCATGTAAAGATCGGGGGGGCCATGTACCCTTCCCCACCCTTGGCTACCTGTCGCTGCACCTCTGGAGGAGCCACTAGGTTCTGACTGTCTAACGACCGGGCTCGGCCGGGGCCCAGTCACAGTGAATGGGGGCCAGGCTGAGTCGCGTGACAATCCCCACAGTGCAGAAGAGAGCAGGCCAGGGGCAGAGGTGAATGGTTCGCCCTTCCCCTACCCCACTCTCTTCTGCACTATATAAAATTAATTTTTGAAATTGGTTGCCACTCAAATGACAGAAGTTATGGAGGGATGCCCCGAGTTCAATGAGGTTGATAACCACTGATCTTTGACTTAACCAGCACTCAAGAAGCAGTTTTTCACTTCCCCATAACATAGCTACTAATTTTGCAGGTTACCTCACGCTTCTGTGCAAAGAGCCTTTCTTTAGCACTAAAGGGAGATGTTTCCTTTCCTGTTCCTTGAAGGCCTTGAGTAAATGAAAATGTATGGATAAACAAGAGAGGTCACCATCTGAAGTTCAGGAAGCCTGCATTCTGCATGCTAGTTAGAAATAAAAAAGCCCGCCAGAAATGGGCTGCCCTAGCATGACAAATAATGTTCTCAGAGACAGGCTGTGTCACACAAGCGATTGTTACTGGTAGCTAAAAGACAGTGGATCAGCAGCAATCCTAATGCACAGTTCTGGGGATCATAACCAAAGGGTTCCCCCTAGAACTTCGCATTTTCAGAATTAAGATTTTTAGTAATCTCAAATCAGATCTTTGCTAGGATTTCTATTTTGCGAATTCTCTGTAACCAGCCACTCTCAGACATGGTAAGCATCCTACACTGACATTTTTAAATTTACCTAATAGCAGGTATCCCTAGATAGGTGCTCCATCCTGTGTTCTTTATGGCTTGTTACCAAAAAAGGAATATTTTTTGTTTTCTCTGATGAGCAATTTCTCCGAGACTTCAGAGGGAGTATTTGCTTTCTGGTAGATTTTCCACCATTCCCATCAACAGCACAGAAACACTGCCTTGGTTATTTCAAAGTGTTGAGCAGCTGCCAATATGTCTTTCTAACCTGCATAAAACACTAACTTGACTACAAACAGAATATACCTAACATTTCTCAATCAAATGTTGGGCTTTCCAATGTCCCTTCCATTGATCAGCAGAGTTTGCATTTTCATAGTTTCATAGTTTCTAGGGTCAGAAGG